CGAAGAGCACTGGCATTGTTTCCTGTATTCACGGCTCTTTTCTTTCTGTGGCTGAATTCCATTGTGTGGACAGATCACAACTTGTATAGTCACTCAACCACTGAACAACATTCAAGTTCCAGTAGCTGTTGGTAATTATTCATAAAGCCTCAGCAAAAATACTGTTTGTTACATAAACTTAAGTTTATTTAACTTTTTAAAATTATACTTACTTGGACTGGAAAGATGGCTCAGCCGTAGTTAAAGGCTAGGCTCACAACCAAAAATATAAGATTATACTTAATTTGTGAGCACGTGGGAGGGGTGCACGTGTTACAGTTTGCATGTAGACTAAGAGCACAACTTCAGGGAGTCAGTTCTCTCCTTCTGCCACGCCATGTGGGTCCCAAGGATCACACTCAGATCTCCAGGCTTGGTGGCAAGAGTCCTTACCTGCTGAGCTGTCCTGCCAGCCTTTGAACATAGCGCATCTGTTGTTTCTTCCTTGGCTTTTTTTTTTTTTTGACACAGTACTTTGTTATACATCCCAGGCTGCCCTAGAATTAGAGATCCTCAGGCTTTAACCTGAGGATTTGGTGCTGAAATCAAAGCTATGTGCCACCGTGCCCAATTTAAACATAGCTTTTTATTGCACACAGACTCCCCTAGGAATGGCAGTGGTGGCTAAAGGAACTGCTATGTTTTTGGACATCTTTGACAGACAGGTAAGGAGTTAAAGAGAGCAATAGTAAAACTATTTTTCTTTTTGTCCTGTTTTGTATTTGTTTTTGCTTGTATTTGTTTTTCTAGACAGGGTTTCCTTGTATAACCCTGGCTGTCCGAGAATTCACTTTCTAGTCCAGGCTCAAACTCACAGAGATCTGTATCTCCTGAATTCTTGGATTAAAGTTATGTACCACCACCACTCAGCAATAGCAAACTTCTTTAAGGCTTCACCAACAGCTAAGTCACATCACACATTAATGCCCCCAGTAAGGGCCCAATACAGCAAGTTCATCAATGTTCTACTCTCTGTGTGGCCAGGGCTAGCTGTAACCCATTTCTATCCATCCAGGTGCTGTTCGGAGACTCCTACCTCATACCCGCACTCCCATCCTGCTCCTCTGCATCTCTTGGCGTCTCCTCCTGACTCCTGAGACTCTGCCCCTCTTCTTCCAATGGCTCTCTCTGCCCTGGAAATCTGCTTTTTATGAACAATGAGAGTAACACTATTCTCCAGCACAATTGGCTTGCCTCACCTGAGGCAGCTGAGCTAGTCCTCTGAGCACCCCCACATGGCAACAATACCAGGTAAAATCTACTGTCTCCATTTTCTACTGTACAGACTGACTCCCCAGGGTGTGAGCCTCAACTTTAGACTGCTGGGTTCAGATGTGCCTGCCTAGCTCCTGGCTGAGGAAGACACTGTAGGGCATGGGGCTGGTGAGGGTGGGCACACCCTTAATCCCAGTACTCAGGAGACAGGTGCAGGCAGATCTTAGGAGTTAAAGGCCAGCTAAGGCTACATAGCAACAAGTGTCAATAAATAAATAAATAAATAAACAGAAATGTTTTGTGTGTAGGGGTCAGCAAGATGGCTCAGCAGGTAAAGGTACATGCTGCCAAGTCTTAAAGTCTAAATCAATCTCTGGGAGATATGTGGTGGCACACACCTTTAATTCCAGAATTTGGGAAGCCACCCTGGTATACAGAGTGAGTTCCAGGACAGACAGAACTGCTATACAGAGAAACCCAGTCTCAAAAAAAAAAAAAAAACAGAAGCTGTTCTCTGGCCTCCATCCACATAGGCACCATACCAAGTCCACACATGATAAATGTAAGAACAATTAACAACTTTGTGTATCTGTGTGCATATTTACTGTTCACTGGGGAGGAGGGCAGGTTGTGTGTGTGTGTGTGTGTGTGTGTGTGTGTGCACAAATTTATGTGAACATGTATATGAAGGCCAGAGGACTTAAGGTGTCATTCTTCAGGAGCAGTCCACCTTGGTTTTGTTTGTTTGATAGGTTTCTCTGTGTAGCCCTGGCTGTCCTAGAACTTGCTCTACAGAAGAGGCAGGCCTTGAACTCAAGATCCTCCTTGCTCTACAGAAGAGGCAGGCCTTGAACTCAAGATCCTCTTGCCACCACCTCCCAGCTTAAAATCCATTATTTAGCCCTATGTCTTTTGTTTGCTTTTTGAAGCAAGGTCTCACTATACAGCTCTAGTTGTCCTGGGATTCACTATGTAAATAAATAAAGCTGTTCTGGTACTCAGATCCTCCAACTGCCTCTGCCTCCCAGTGCTGGGACTAAGGACATAGGTTACCACCACTAGGTGGTGTTAGTTTTCCAACACCTATTTTTAAACCACATCCTGGTAGCAAGGTGGCAGGTACTTGTCAGCTCAACACTGATTGAAGCAGGAGAATCACAAGTTCAAGGCCAGCCTGGGTTACACAAGTCCAAGACAAGTCTGGTCTAGAAGGTAAGAACTTGCCTAAAAACAAATAAATAGAAATAGAGCCACAGTAGTAACTAAAATACCCCTTCAAAACTATGCCCCATCATTACTTAAAGAGCAGGACATTTCCAGCCTTGAGGTTGTCCCCAAACACAAAAATTTCCTGTGCAAAATGAGGTGGACTAGAAAGCTTAGTGAGCCGCAGACAAGCCCCTGCAGAGGCACACCTGCATGCCCCCATTGAAGAGTCCCTCATGCTCTCTGCTTCCCGTGGGGACAGCTCCTCTGTTCTGCATGCACTTTCCGTTTCTATTCACCTATCTTGAGGCAAGCTCTCAATCTGTATACCAGGCAGACGTTACACAGGACTCCCCCTGTCGAAGCTTCCTGGTGCTGGGATTACAGGAATGTTCCACTGTGCCAGCTCTCTTGTTATGTCTCTAGTGACTGGTTCAGGACACCCTCTATTAAGCTAAAGGATCCCCTGGTCCCAATTCCATTTGGGGGGTTGGGGGCACAACTATGTTTAGATAGGGTCCTTTTCAGTTCTCCTGGGGTCAGTGTGGTCAGGAAAACCAGAACACACACATCCGGATCGACCACCAAGGGAAGGCTGCCCAGGGCTAGGATCATCAGAGGCTCTTGTGCTGCAGGGCTGCCAGAGAGGGGGTGTCAGCGTCATCCACTAAACAAGACGATTAGTCAGTGTAGGGAAAAGGGGCCAGTCAAAGAAACAAACTTTGGCCCTGCAACTAGAACTAAAGAAACCAGTGCTAAAAGAACACACTTTGTCCCTGGAATCAGAGTCAGTGAAAGAAATGCACCCTGGCCCTAAAATTAGAGCCAAAAGGCTAAAAAGGACCAGAGAAAGAAACACACTTTGACCCTGAAACCAGAGCCAAATCTGACCCTAATCCTGTGCAGAAAACTAACCAATCCCTGAGCAGAGCTCTAGCCAATCTGAGCTCATCACTAGAATCTGACCAATCTCCACCCTGGAAGCCCTATATAAACCCTGTGTGTTCAGCTTGTGTCTGTTTGCACTACCCGGCTGTCCTCTGTCACTCCGGCAGAGGGCAGCCACTCTCCTGGATTCTTCCCTTCCAATAAACCCCTTCAATGAGCTTTGGATGAAGATCTTCTTTTGCGGTGGCGACAGAGCAGAGCAGAGCTGTAACACTTGCCCGGGAAACCTTCCCTTGGCAGAGTGGAGTTGTTACACTCTGCTCCGCTCTCTGGGAGCAGAGCTGAACTGTAGCAACTTCGCCCGATAAGCAAAACTGCTCCACTGGGTGAGCATGCCCAGCTGGAAGACCCTGTTCTGCCGGAGCAGAGCAGATACACCAGGGAAGCCTTTCCCTGAGGCAAGGCTGTAAACTGCTAAGCTTACTGCAACCTGTGATGGCCCTTGGCTCCCGAGCTCCAGGATACCTTTCCATCTGAGCTGTGTGAAACTCAGTATCCTGTGATTCCCGAGTGCCAGAATACCTGACCCACTCCTGTCCCATCCTGATCCAACCCGAAATGCCTACAGTCATCCCTTTGTCCCGGGTCTTTCTTGGGCACTTTCACAGATGCTGAATAACGTCAACTTCCCATATACAGCGGTCATTCCCATTTCACAGTTGAGCACAACTGAGGCCAAACGGCTACTTTGCCAGTGCAAGGTCACACATCCAGGAAGTGCTAGGATCGGGAAGGAAGCCTACTCTCTGGATACAGAGTCAGACTCAGGCTCTGACTCCCAAGTGGGTTCTCTCCCTGCAGGAACCATAACCAACTACCCCAGCTTCTCTAAACCTGGCAGCTTCAGAAGCTCTCAGCTGTGTCCTTTGACCATCATCAATCAGCACAGCCTTAAAAACCCAAAGAGCCGAGTAACAGAGGTCGTCCTCTGTTCCCCCACAGCAGAAAGCGCCCACGTCAAAGCATTCGGAAATATCTACGAAGCACCTAGTGGGTCTTGAAAAAGACGCAAAGCCACGAAGCAAAACCCAGCCTCTGCCCTGCAAACGAAGTGACATCTACCCCGAGCGCCAAGAACGCAGCTAATTGCTCGGCAGGAAGTAAGAAAAGCCTGAGTACCCGGACTGGGGCGATCCCTCGCCAGACCAGCCTCACCTCGCTTTACAGTAACAGCCTGTACAGAGCAACCGGCAGGAGAGGGCGGGGTGCGGACTTTCATCCCTGGGTGGCAGCACAGGGAACTCGGAGGCACGGGCCAGGCAGTTACAAGTCACCGGGCAGAACAGCCCAGCCGCTCACCACCTAGGGACAGGGTGCGGCAGTCCGGGCCGACCGGCCTCTGTAGCCCCGCCCCTCCCTCGCCTCGTCATCAGCAAGTAGTGAGAGAGGGCCGCGATTGGCTGTCTCCGCTGCGGAGGCGGGACCTCAGCCTCGGGCGCGCGCGCGCCCCCCAGGGAGGCGTTGACCAGGGGGTGGGGAGAGCTGGAAGGGGCGTGGCCTCGCGCGGAAGGCCGTTGGCCGCCAGGTCCCACCCCGGATGTGCTGCGTCACGGAGCGGGCGGCAGCGATTGGCCCGAGTGGTGCGGCGCGCCGGGAGGGGCGGAAGGTTCTGGAGGGCTGGCGGGATCTGGAAGCTTCCGCCGGACGGGTATATAGAGTCCGGGACAGGGCAGCTGCGGAGCCGGAGGCGGCGACAGCTGGGCGGCGGTGGCCATGGGCAAGGACTATTACCAGACGCTGGGCTTGGCCCGCGGCGCGTCCGACGACGAGATCAAGCGAGCCTACCGCCGCCAGGCGCTGCGCTACCACCCCGACAAGAACAAGGAGCCCGGCGCCGAGGAGAAGTTCAAGGAGATCGCCGAGGCCTACGACGTGCTCAGCGACCCGCGCAAGCGCGAGATTTTCGACCGCTACGGAGAAGAAGGTAAGCGTGCGCGCGGCCGGGGGTGACCCGCCGTTTGACAGGCCGGGAAACTGAGGCACTCGGGGCCTCTCCGAGGCCTCGGCCCCGTATAGACGGCCCGGGGGATCCGGCGGCCGTGCCGCCTCCGCCCTCTGACCGGCGGCCTCAGCCGGGAGGAGGAGCTTTGGGCGCGCCGCTCACTCAGAAGCTTCTAGCACGTCTGCCGCAGCCCCTCCCGGCCCGACGCCTGCACATCGCCGGAACGCTGCAGTCGGAGGGCGGCGGTCGCGATCGCTAGGGTGTGAGGTTTTGAGAATTGCCCGAGTGTTTTTTGTCCCTCTGTCCCCGCTAACCCGCAAGCTCGGCGCTTAAAACCCAGAGTTGAGCCTTTCTGGTCGCAGTGCGTGGGAACTTCTCTGTAAAGACGGGGCTGTCAAGTAGACCTGGCTGGCGCCGACAGCTGCAGGCCCTGCTACCGAATTGTTGTCATGAAGTAAAAAGGGGCGATATGTGCCCTGCTCCTGCTGCCACTGGCGGTTAAAGACTTGAGATTCGTTCTTACCTGGAACAAACTTTTAAAAATACATGTAGCCCCTCCCACTACGGTTCCCAGGACTTTTTAAATTAAAAGCAAAACTCGTTGAGCCAGGTGCGGGAGCTGACACACACACACACACACACACACACACACACACACACCACTTTGGAGGCTGAAGCATTGTTGTCAGTTTGCTTCAGATCTGAACTACAGAGAATGAGCTCCTGTTTCCAAAAGAACAGGATGTATCGACAATCCCAGGCCTGGTATGTCTGAGTCAGGAGAATTGCCTCCAGGCTAACCTGGACTACTCAGCAAGTTCAAGTGCTATATAACGTGACAGTGACAGGATCTGTGTAGTTCGGGCTTTCATTTATTTTTACTTCTGTGTATGTGTCTACATGTAGGTATGTTCATGATGCACATGCTTCGAGAGAAGAGGGTATTGAATCCCCTGGAACTGGAGTTAGACAGTTGTCTACTGTTGTATGGGCGTTGCTGATAGAACATAGTTCCTCTGCCAGAGGAGCAAGTGCTCTTAACTTCCAGCCATCTCCAGTGCCTGGAGTTAGAGTCCTGGCTGTTCTGGAACTTGCAGAGATCAGCCAGCTCCTATCTTCATAGTGCTGGGGTTCCAGGCGTTTGGTACCATGTCAGGCTCTTTGTTTTAAGGATTTTTTGTTTTATATATGTGTTAATTTATTGCAGTGCTAGAATTGGAAACCATTTCTTCTTTTGTTTTCCAGGCCTAAAGGGTGGCGGCCCCAGTGGCGGTAGCAGTGGCGGTGCTAATGGTACCTCCTTCAGCTACACATTCCATGGAGACCCTCATGCCATGTTTGCTGAGTTCTTCGGTGGCAGAAACCCCTTTGATACCTTTTTTGGGCAGCGCAATGGGGAAGAGGGCATGGACATCGATGACCCATTCTCTGGCTTTCCAATGGGTATGGGTGGCTTCACCAATGTGAACTTTGGACGTGCCCGCCCTTCCCAAGAGCCCACCCGAAAGAAGCAAGATCCCCCAGTCACCCACGATCTCCGGGTCTCCCTTGAAGAGATCTACAGCGGCTGTACCAAGAAAATGAAAATCTCCCACAAGCGACTGAACCCTGATGGAAAGAGCATTCGAAATGAAGATAAGATCCTGACCATTGAAGTGAAGCGGGGCTGGAAAGAAGGGACCAAAATCACCTTTCCCAAGGAAGGGGACCAGACTTCCAACAACATTCCAGCTGACATCGTCTTTGTTTTAAAGGACAAGCCACACAATATCTTCAAGAGAGATGGTTCTGATGTCATCTATCCAGCCAGGATCAGCCTTCGGGAGGTAAGCCACTAGGTGGGAGAATCACAAAAGGAGCGATGGGGGTAGGGGGGGGCTCTGCTGTGCTGGCAGTGTGTGTCATGTGGAGTGGGGTCAGCTGCATGGGTCTGGTGGACCTGACCCTTCCTAAGCCAGCCTCATCTAACACAGTCCTTTTGCCTCCCTAGGCTCTCTGTGGTTGCACTGTAAATGTCCCCACTCTGGACGGCAGGACCATCCCTGTTGTATTCAAAGATGTCATCAGGCCCGGCATGCGGCGGAAAGTTCCTGGAGAAGGCCTCCCTCTCCCCAAAACCCCTGAGAAACGTGGGGACCTTGTTATCGAATTTGAAGTCGTCTTCCCTGATAGGATTCCCATAACATCCAGAACCGTCCTGGAGCAGATTCTTCCCATATAGACACCTGCATTCTCCAAGGACTGAGCCAGGGACTTTTCCAGAGCTGCAGATTTCCGGACCGTTCACTGGTTGCATACTGCGGGAGGGCCCAGGGAGGGCTTTTGCTCTGCCGAATGTTTTCCACAGAATATATTACAATCTTTCAAAGTCGTGCACTAGACTACAGTGATTTTTTGAGTGATAGGCAGGCGGTGGGAACAGCAGCCCTCCTGGAATGGACCCACCCTCTGCACCCCAGCTCCTGCCCAAGGGTGTGAGGCAGGCCTGCAACTGGACTCGCCCCTGTTGCTGTCCTTTAGTTTCTGGCTGTGTGTGGCAGTGAGCACCATCTCAGTTGCCAGACCTTGTGCACTAGTCAGTCTCCACTGTGTGAGAGGTTCTTGTTTTATTCTGTATTTGTCCCATGCCTTGTTCCTCCTCCCCAGAAGAATCCTGTCCTGTCTTGGCCATCTCAAATTGAGACCAGTTCAGTAGGACTTCCAGGCCAGCATCACAAGCAATACCTGGTTATGGGACCACATGGCCAGCCTCAGGTGAGCAAGTCTCACTGCCACCTCCCTCCAGGTTTGGGACCTGGACAGTCAGGAGATTCCCCTGAACCTCTGGCTCTGTTGAAATCAGGTGGCTGACTTATGGTCACAGTATTTGTTGGTCCAGAGGTAGTCCTTAGCCATAGCTGGGACTTCTCAAAGGCCTGGGTGATTTTTTTTTCTTTTTTTTTTTTTTCTTTTTTTCTTTTTTTTTCCCCCCCTTTGGTGTGTGTAATAGACTCTGAACTTTGTCAAAAGGATATAATCCTTTTGAATTTTGCACAGCCCTAGATATAATCCCTTTATATAAAAGGGTCTTTGCTTCTGATGAAAGGAGCCCTGTGGAACGTCTGTAAATATGTTTTTATAATTCCATTCAAAGCTGGTGTATGCCCAGATGGAAGCAGGGCTGTGATGGAGTCAGACCTTGGGAGTGAAGGGGTCTGTTCTTTGAAGCTAGCCCGGTGCTCTGACATTCGACTCATTGTAAGTTGCCACTACCAACACGAGACCAAAGTGTGTGACTTGTCATTCTGCAGTGTGACAGCATTAAAGACTGATGGCAAACCTCAGGGGAGCAGTCCTTCGACTCTGTTTGAGGGCTTTGCTGGGGGAGGGATGGCATGGTGAGAGTCCTCGTCCTCCAAAGAAAGCTATGTTTCCCTTCTGGAAAATTGGGGAAGGGGCCTTCTTCGATCACCTTTTCTGCCTTGCTAGGCTTCTGGCCACATCTGGGGACCTAATAACCACCAGAGCTAAGGAGTAAAGCACTATCTGCCCAAATCCCTATTGCCAGCCAACTAGGCCTGGCTAGACCAGGGCTAGGATGCTAGGCTAGCTGCTTGGAGCTGGCCCATGGTCTGTTCTGCCCGGTGTGAAGCGAGGAAAACACCCACTCCTGTCCCAACTTTATTTATGTGGGTATCTTAGGAGTTTACATTTCTTTAAGGAGCTAAGTTGATAATAAAGCAAATAGAACATAGGGTTAAAGGAATGTGTTGGGTTTGTTGCTGTGTTTTAGTGGTGCTGGTAAGAGTAACTGCTCAAAAGTAAACCTTGTTAAAACAAAATTCAGATGTGTGTTGGTGGTGCCTGCCTTTAATCCCAGTACAAAAGCGGCTTTCCCTCACCACTAAGACAAATTAACCCCGGTCAGAATAACCAAAGAGAATTCCAGAATGGTTTAAAGTTAAAAGAGCTCCTCTAGTCGACAGCACATACCAGGTGCATAGCTACCACACGTCCTGTGGTTGCAGACTCCACCAAGACTGACATGTAGGGATGACCTGTCATGTGATCCACTTCTGCAGCATGTCCCTGTGAACTTGGTAGGGAAGTGTCATGTCCACTTTTGGGTTTTTTTTGTTTTGTTTTGTTTTTTGTTTGTTTGTTTGTTTTTGTTTTTGTTTTTTTGTTTTTTCGAGACAGGGTTTCTCTGTATTGTTTCGGAGGCTATCGGTCCAGCCCGGCCTCGAACTCACAGAGATCCGCCTGCCTCTGCCTTCCGAGTGCTGGGATTAAAGGTGTGCGCCACCAATGCCCGGCTATGTCCACTTTTAAACCCATAAACAGCATGGCAACAACCTGGGGAGTGGGAGATTCTTTGGGGAACATGTTATTAGGGCCCAGGGCACTCTGATCAGCAGTACAAAACACTGGTGTGTGTGGGTGAGGCCAAGTTAGAGCCCATACTTCAGACCCCTTGACATGACCTGAGGGGAGCAGGGCCTGCCCTGATCTGGGCTTCTCTTCCTATTACACCATTACACCAAAGGAATCTGGTTTTTGTGCATTCAAGAAAGTGCCTGTAAGGACTCAGTTAACAGCACTTGCTCTTGTGTAGGTTCCAGCACCCAGGTATAACTAGTTCCCTGGGATCTGACACCCTCTTCTGGCTTCAGGCATCAAACATGGGTATGAGCACACACTCCATGCAGGCAAAGCACTCATACACGTAAATAAATCTAAGGTCTTACAAGACTGCCTGTGCTATGTAAGCACAACTTCTAAGTTTTCAGTTTCCTTTCTTGGCTGCCATGCACACTATGAAACTGGAAAGGGCTCACAGAGTGAAACTCGCCCTCCCACCACCAGATGTTCTGTTTTCTCAGACCTCTGAGAGGCTACACAGAGTGCCTCTATCTCTAAGCATTGCTTTCCCCTTCCTATGGCATAGCAGGGCAAGAGCTGCTCCATTCCAAATACTTGCATCTCTGTCTCATTAGCTCTAACTGGGATGGGGGAATTGTAAAGATCGATTCTGCCTCCAGCCTGAATTTTCGCTTCCAGGTCTGCATTCCAACTTGACCTTTTTCAAGCGGTATGATGTTGGACAAGGAAACTAGCCTCATTATGCCAGTGTTTCAACTGAAATGGGCATTATAATAATAGGACTTTTTTCTCAGCATGATGTCTTAAAGTAAGCTACTTGCAAGGTCAAAACCAGCCTATGACTGGTTTTTAGACCCTGTCTCAAAAAACTAAAGTCAGCCAGGAAACATCAAGGTGTCTCAGTGGTCAAAAGCCATAGTTTGTAGAAAGCCAAAGTTTGGTTTCCAGCATCCAGGTCAGGTGCCTTGCAAGGGATCCATGGCCCTCCCTGGTCTCTGGGGGCACCTGCGTTAACTTGTGCAAACCCATACAGACATACAGAACACACTAATAATTTAAAATCTTTCAAAAGTAAAAAGGGGCCAGGTGTAGTGGGGCACACCTTTGACCCAGTACTTGGCAGAGCCTATTTAGGTCAGCAATACACCTGGGCTTGGTTCCTGGGACTTGGCAACAGCACTAATCCAGGACAGACTTGTCTGTCTTTGGGAAGGTGTTATGGGTAGAGCTGACATGCAATACTGTTCTGTGTCAGATTCTGCCTGGTGTGTATACCATTTACATATCTGGAAACCCTTACACACCTAGAAGAAAAGGATTGGTTTTTTTGTTGTTTGTTTGTTTGTTTGTTTTGCAATACAGGGAATGGAACTCAGGTCTTTGTGCATGCTGGGCAAGCACTCTATTGCTAAGCTACACACTCAACTTTTTTCCCCTCCTTTGGGGCCAGGTGTCTCACTATGTAGCTCACTATGGAACTCACTTTGTCAGCTAAATAGGCACCAAGACTGGACAACCATAGCTCCGGCACTCTGTCTCTGTGTGTTGTTGGATGTCACCTCCTGATCCTCTTGGAAGTCTTTGAAAAATGGAAGAAATGGCTGGATATGATGACAGATCCCTGAATCCCAGCACTGTGGAGGCAGAGACCAGCCTGGGCTGCATATCCAGGCCAGCCAGGGCTGTATAGTGAGACCCTCTCTTAAAAAGGCAAGGAAGCATGCAGGGACGGCTCAGTGGGTAAGAGTGGCTGTTCTGGAGGACTCCAGTTTGACTCTCAGCAGCTCACAATCAGCTGTGACTCTTAGTTACAGGACTGGTGGCCTCAGTGGACACCAGGCATGCACGTGGTGCACAAACAGGCAAGAAAACAGCTGATGCAAGAAAGTTCAGGAAGAGATCACCACTCCGATAGCTGGACAAGACAGACTATTCTTCACCAAGACGGTCAGCTAGACGAGAGAGGAAGTGCTCTTGGTTTTATTCTCACTCTGCGTCACTGCATCTTTTCCCTGTTGGCTGGGGTCTAACCCCACAGTTTTATCCCAGTGACTAGTCTGAGAAGACTTAGCTGACTGGAAATGAAGGAGGGAGGGGACAGGAGTCATTTCTTCAGACCATCAAATTCCTGGGACAAAGCAGGCTGCCTTTGTATAAGCAAAGGTTTTATCAGATGAGGGGACTAAAACATTGGCACGAAAGGTTGACCAGGTGGGGAGATAAAAGGATTTTAATCTCTAGGCCTTTGATAGAGAAGACTCATCTATTATTTCTTACATCCTTACATGTGAAATAAAATAATAAAAATCTTTTAAATACTAAGTTGAACTCTAAGACTGGGTAGTTAGCTCGGCCAGTAAAGGTCTTGGCACCCATGCATGAGCACTGGAGTTCTGATGCCCAGCTTCATGAAAGTTTGGGGGCATGGCAGACTGCCTCTAATCCCAGTGGATACATGGGTAAACACCAGCTAAAACTGGGAGCTGTGGGTTCAGCCAGAGACCCTAGTGGAGAAAACAATGTCAGCTTGGGGCCGTCACACTCACACAGAGGTACATACACCTACACATTCAAACACACACACCACATACATGCAAAAGAAAAAAAACCAGAGCTACAGTCCCAATGTTCAGAGGCTGGAGCACAAAGGCCATGAATTCACGGACACCCTTAGCTCCATAATGAGGCCATCTTGTTGTGAGGTGACCATCAGAGAAGACTACTCAGACGCAGGTTCAAAGCCATAGGAAGTCTTTAGTAGCTGCCTGGCTTCTACACTGGGTGTTGGGGCCATGATACAGCCCTCAGCCCTTCTCAGGGTGAGCTTTTAAGCACAAAAACCACACCCTAGGTTGACACATCTCAGTTAACAAGCGCAGTTAGCCAGAAGCAGAGCTACAGAAGCCAAAAAGCAAGGTGAGTCCGTTTAGAGACTTTCCCAGGGCTATGGACTTGGATAGATTAGGTCTTTGTTCTCATTTTGGCAGCTCGTGCCACCACATGCTGGGCTCCATGATCTGAATGGTATTTCCATCATTTGAGTCAGCTGTACTAAGGTCTGAGGATCTGTTCCACTGTCAAACGAAACACAACACAAATCCCAGGTCAAGTTGAAGGTCAATGAGAGCCATGTGTTTAGCACACAAGAGGCAATGGTCCCCAGTTGGCAGTGAGAGGCAAAAGGAGACATTTGCTAAGGTTAAGCAGAAGGCTGTTTTCTGTCCCACTGTTGCTAAGGACTGTCACTGTGACAGTCATATAGTTAGCACTCGTTCATTTGATAAGTGTTTATCACCGTGTTCCAGCCCTGAACTACGTGTGGGGAACAAGAGTGAACAAAACTGCCAGGGACGCCTGCCTTTGGGCTGGTGACACTTCAGCTTTGTAAAGCTGCTTGTGACTGTGCCTGTCAGCACGGGTCTGACACCCATAACCCTCATGGTAGAGGAGAACCAACTCCCTCAGTTTGTTCCCTGGCCTCCACTGGAGTGTCATGGCATGCACATACATGAACAATAAGTAAATAAAGAAATAAATATTTAAAATTTGTAAGTTTCTGTCTTTGGGCTGGGCCCTGGCTCAGTGGTGCCTGCCTAGCACCTAGGAAGCTCCGGGCTGCAGACCCATCAAGGAAAGGAAGGAAGAAAGGAGGGGAAAAGGAGAGAGGAAAGGGGGAGAACAACTCCATCCTAGCACACATGAGACCCTCGGTTTCAGTCCCAGCACTATAATAAACACATGAGTAGCCCCTATGTTTGTGGGGCTGATGGTCAAGTGGGAGTAGATGAGAGCTAGAACATAAAAATAATAAAGCATCCAATATGCCAGATATCCACGAGAGCGAGGAGCTAGAGGAGCAGTGGGTGGATGGTGTTGGGGACATTTTTAAATAACAGCATTTCCCTTGCCAAGAAGGTGGCAGCTATGCAAAGGGGGTGTGCAGAGGAGCTTTGTGGGCAGAAAAGAGTTAGCACCCAGGCAGAGGGAGCAGCTATGCAAAACCTCTGAGACCGGCAGGTGGGGCGGGCACAGTAGAGGGATGCTTTCGGCGTGCAGGCAAACGGCACAGCCCCAGTGGGCTGCAGGACAACTCCAGGCTTGCCCTGTGAGGGGGTAGCTCGCTGGGGTTAAGGTTACGAATTGTTTTAGGTTTCCGAGGCTTGTGGCAGGGGCTCAGGGGGCACATGGCACAATACACATGTGAAGGTCAGAGGACAACTTGTGGGAACCAGTTCTCTTTCTCACCATGTAGGTCTCAGGTCTTTAGGCTTGGCCAAAAGTGCCTTTACCCACTGAGCCACCCTGCCTGTCTGAATGGGTGTCATTTTCATTGCAGCGTTACCTTCCGGTCCTTGAAACAAGTCATCAGAACCTTGAAATCACAAGATAGCAGAGTGCAGAATAGTAAATGCCACCAGTTTTCTTAATTTGCAGGCTTCCAGGTGTGGCAAGTCCGAGGACCATGCTTCTGAGGCTGAAGCAGGAGCATTGGCAGTTCTGAACCAGCCTGGCCTTTATGGCAATTCCATGCTCTGTGGAGAGACAGGTGAGCAGTTAAGAGTATTTGCTGCTGGAGGACCTGAGTTTGATTCCCAGCACCTACACGGTGGCTCACAGCTATAACTTCAGTTTCAAGGGATCAAACGTCCTCTTCTGACTTCCACAGGCACCAGGCATGCATGTAGTATACCTACATACATGCAGGCAAGACATCCACACACATGAAAAAAGTAAGGGTAAAGACGACAACTAGGAAAGAGAGCCCTTAGTCACCGTCCTACTGCTGGGATGAGACACTTTGACCAAGGTAACTAATAGAAATAAGAGCTTCTTTAGGGCTTATGATTCCAAAGGGATAGAGGCCATCGTGGCAGGAAGCATGGCAGCAGGCAGGAGCATGAGGTGAAACAGCTGAGAGCTCGCATAGCTCACATCTTGAGACACAAGTAGGAGGCTGGGCCTGGCGCGGGCTTTTGAAACCTCAAAGCCCACCCCCAGTGACACACCTCCTCCAGCAAGGCCATACCTCCTCCATCAAGGTGTGCCTCCCAATCCTTCCCAAACAGTTTTACCAATTAGGGACCAAGTATTCAAATGTATGAGCCTAGGGAGTCATTCTGTTAGTTTGTTTGAGACAGGGTTTCTCTGTGCATCCCTGGCTGTCCTGGAACTCATTAGGTAGACCAGGCTGGCCCTGAACTCACAGACATCCACCAACCACTGCCCCCTGAGTGCCGGGATTAAAGGCGTGTGGCCACCGTCACCTAGCTATGGGAACCACTCATTCAAACCGTCACAGTAGCTCCATTCATAAAGGTGATGGCTTCCAACCCACAGCCTGATTCATCCCCAGAACCCATATGATGGAAAGGAAAAATGGACCCCTAAATCTGCGTGTCCCCCATAAAATGCAATTTTTAAAATTTATTTAAAAACCAGGCTAGTACCCCAGTACTAATCTGCCATTCAGTGGCATGGGTGGGTGAGAGACTCCGCCCCATCAACACCTCCTGCATCTGTCATGTGGCAGCATGGGCAGGGAGAGATTCCTCCCCAATCCCACCCCCACCCCAGCCTCATCTGAGAGAGCTGTCCCTTTCCTTCATCAGCTGCAGCACTCGGGAGAGTGTCCCCTACACCTCACCAGACAGCACAGTAGAGCTGACCCTGCCAGTGTGGGTGGTGTGGGTGTGGGAGAGCCGGCCCTGAGGATGGGAACTGACCCCGCCCTTGCTGGTTGCTGCAAGGGGTGAACTCACCAGGCCAATGCTGGAGAGTCCGCCCTGGTGGTGAGGACAGGACAGAGATGGCGGGCGGGCGGACCAACCTGCAACTTCCCAGGCCCAGAACCAGGGTTATGTGTTGGTCCACCCCAACATCCATCCCATCTGTGACCTGCTGGGGTGCGGGGGGAGGAGGGGGAGTGGGGAAACCCTTTGGATCCAGGGCTACGGGATCTCTACGACACAGGGGATGTCTGGGAGGAGTCACGGTGAGGGCCCAGTGTCGATGATTTAGCAGACAGGGACCTCGAACCAAATCTTGCAAAGAATGCCTGCATATGATCATGTATGGATAAAAGGGTTTATTGCATGACTGACTGTGTCACTTCCATGCAACTTCCATGACGAGATTTTCCCTTTCTTCCTTTTCCCCCCTTTTTTAATATTAAATTTTATTTTGTTTTATGGGGGGAGGTTGCAGGGGCAGAGGGCAGATGGGAGGGGGCAGGAGATGGGTGGGTTAGGATGCATGATGTGAAAGATGCAAAGAATAAATAAGAAAGGAAAGAGAAAAAAGTAAGGCATGGTGTTGAACACCCTTAATCTCAGTGCTCTCAAGGCAGAAACAGGCGTATCTCTGCGTCTGAGGTCAGCCTGCTCTAGAGTGAGCTCTCTGCCTGTCAGCCAGTACTACACAGTGAGACCCTGTCTCAAAAATAAAACAAAACAAACACAGAGTAAACGTTAAAATTTTCCGGGCATTGGTGGCAAACACCTTTAATGCCAGCACTCGGAAGCAGAGGCAGGTGGATGTCTGTAACTTTGAGGCCAACCTGGTCTACAAAGTGAGTTTCAGGACAGCCTCCAGAGCTACAAAGAAATCCTATCTAGAAAAACAAAAACAAAGCAAACAAGCAAATAATAAATGTTAAAATTTATTTTTAATATGTAAATTATAAGTAAAAAATGTTTTTGTGCATCATGGCACACACTTAGAATCCCAACACTTAGAATCCTTAGAAGGCAGAGGCAACAGGGCCCTGAGGCCTCTCTGGCCAGCAGGGTAACCGGATCAGCAAGTCCCTGGTCCCAGTGAAAACCCTGACTCCAAAAGGAAGATGAACAGTTGCTGAAGGTGGACACCTGAGGTTGACTTCTGGCCGTCACATGCACACACGCACACACACTTACACACTCTCACACATGCACACTTATACACGCACACTTACACACACGCGCACACACACACACAGTGAGAGAATGAGGCTTTCCAGCTCATGTGCTCATCTCAGACAGGCCTGTACTGGTGTCTACAGCCTGTCACGCTCACACTCGTCCCAGGGCACTGGAGTTCCATTTCTCTGAGTTCTCATGCCCTGTAGTTGTTCAGCCAAAAGCCTGCTTCTTTTCTTTCTTTTTTGGTTGGCTTTGGGTTTTTGTTGTTGTTTGTTCACTTGGTTTTTGTTTTGTTTTGTTTTCAAGACCGGGTTTCTCTGTGTAACAGTCCTGGATGTCCTAGAACTTGGGGGGGGGGGGCGCTGGAGAGGTGGCCTGCAGGGGACCTGAGTTCAACTTCCAGCACCCGTGTCAGGTGGCTCACAACGGCCACCTCTGGCCTCCAAGAGGACCTGCAGACACACATTTAAATATGCACATGATTTTTAAAAGCAATAAAAATAAATCTTTTTTTAAAGCAGAAGTTTGGAGCTGGCTCACTAGTGCACGAATGTGACCCCAGCTCTCCAGAGGCTGAGGTAGAAGAGACGGAGGTGAGCACGGAGTAGATGCTGAGACTCTATCTCCAAAAGTTTAAAAGTAAGGGCTGAGTTGAATCCCCAGAGCTAAGCATGCCTCTGGCCTCCACTTACATGAACATGCTCTCTCTCACTCACACACACACACACACACACACACACACACACACACACACACACAGAGAGAGACAGACAGAGAGAGACAGAGAGACAGAGACAGAGAGAGACAGAGACAGAGACAGAGACAGAGACAGAGAGAGAGAGAGAGAGAGAGAGAGAGAGAGAGAGAGAGAGAGAGAGAGAGAGAGAGGTTGAGACATGCTGCACCTACTGATTTTCTGTCCTGTGGTCTTCTGGAAGACAGGAGACTTTCTGGGGCTCCGCCGTCAGCCACCCTAACTTGGCAAGTTCCTACACTCAAAACCCTATAGAAATGGTGCCTGGGGGTTGACACTGGACGTTGTCCTCTGACCTGCACCCACATCGAACTCTCAACAGGGTACCAGGATGAATGATGAAATAATCTGACAGGACCCTTACCCACAGGCCTTGGGGTGTGGGCACACCTTTACTTTGGTGAGGAGCCTGGCCCCTCAGCCTTTTCTTAGAGAGAAAAGGCCTAGGCCTTCAGGCAGAGAGACAGAGTCCTCAGGGTGCAGGAATGGCCTCCGTCGTTCAAACCTTGGGCTTGTGGACATAAAGGGCACAAAGGGAGCAAGGCCCATGCGCGTCCCTGACAGGTGGGTGGATGGCCAGGCCTGGACTAAGGACAAAATTCACACTGCAAGGGCAGCGGTAGGACCGGGTGCTCGGACCTCGGGAAGATCGCGACCACATCAGGGACACTCGGGAGCGGAAGGTGGCAGGCAGAGATCCGCTCTGGGTGGGTGTGAGCTTTGGAGGACCTGGGTGGAGTACTGGACAGATGCAAGTGCTCCTTTGCGCCCTCTCGTGGCCGCTGGGATAACACTGAAGACGTGACCGCGATGGTCCAGCAGGGATAGACGGGACACCAAGGACTAAGAAAGGATGTGTTAAGTCTTGTTGAATAGTTGGGAATGAACAGAGGAGGGGCTTCCGAGACCCCACTCCTAGCTGAAGAGGTTTTTGCGGACTATAAGCCCCAGCCCTTATCCACAGGCCCTAGGGTGTGGGCATACTGCCTCTTTGGGGTGGAGCGGGTGCCTTTCAGCTTGGCCCCGCAGCCCTGCTGAAAGGAGTCAAAACCTTCAGGGAGCTATCGACGACCCCACATCCACGCATACATTGAAAGAGCTAACGGTACTCAGTGAATTGAGAAGAAGAAGCCGGAAAAAGAGGAGGAGGAGGAGACATGAAGTTGAGAGGAGGATGTGTGTAGGGGAGTCCTGGGACTCTCTCTCTCTATCTCTCTCTCTCTCTCTGTCTCTCTGTCTCTCTGTCTCTCTCTCTGCCTGTCTCTCTCTCTCTCTGTCTCTCTGTCTCTCTGTCTCTGTCTCTGTCTCTGTCTCTGTCTCTCTCTCTCTCTCTCTCTCTCTCTCTCGACCAGGCTGGCCTTGAACTCACAAAGATTTGTCTGCCTATGTCTCCCAAGCCCTAGTATTAAAAGGGTACGCCACCTGGTTATATGTATTAAATTGTCAAAGAACAAATTTAAAAATCATTTAAAAAAACTTGAAAGCAAGAAGAGGGCTGGAGTTGTGGTTCAGCAGCAGAGCATTTGCTTAGCACGGAGAAGTGCCACACTCTGTCCCTGGCACTGTAAAACAGCCATGAAGAGTTGACAGAATGTGCTGGTGACATCAGATTTAGAGTGACGGGAGAGCAGGTGTGGGGTCTCAAGCTGGAGGTCTGAGCCATGGAAGGACAGCATTGCTATCGATGAGTGGGGGTGGAGGACAGGACTCTCTGTTTGAGAGGCTCCAGGACAGCGCCATAGCCAGGCCAGGCACAGTCCTACCGAAGAGTGGAGGACAAGCCCGGGCCATGCTGGTGCTGGGCGTTTCTGGTATCGTTGTGGTTCTGGGCTTCCTGAACGCCATGCATGCACTCTCTGTTTCAGACAGGATCTGCTAT